TACACATTTTGCTCGGAGGGGGGGGGTAGGTTTAGATTAGTTGACGTCACCAATGTTGTTTTTTCTAATCAATTTTTAATCTTTGACTAGTTCTTACATTATTTTAAACAATTTAATGAATGGTCAGAATGTTAGCACACTGTTAGCGCAAGAGAATTCAAAAGTTGGCATCTCTTCACCTGTCATTCTTCTCTTAATTCGCTCCCTATAATGATTAACGCATCATTGTACGCGGTGTTCAATTAAAAAAATAACACACACACACACTCATCGGTGTTCAATAACAACTATACAAACTCAAAGACAGAGAGAGTTTATGGCAATTATTGCTCACACCGACAATGCTTCTATTTGAAGTTCTGAATGGTTAGATATGGATGATGTTGACTTGTCTGGTATATCAATTTCGCAAGATGAAAATGATAAATCAGCTACTATAGACTATGCCCATCAGGGGCGTCATTTCAGGGGGATGGGGGGGGGCAAAACCAAAACTTGGTCGGCTTGTTAAGTTGTTTATTACTGGAGACGCCACAGTACAAAGCAATTTAAATAAAACCACCACAATCGGGGGGGGGGGGGGGGGCATATGCCCCCCTCCCCCCCCCAAATGATGTCCATTGTTACGATGCAGCAACACCTGGATACTCCATGGGAAGATAATAGCAGCTAGAAACTATACTATAATTGTCAGCTTTACTGACAATAATCATATCCACAAACAATGATATTTAGTCTGCATTATAAAATTTAAGAGTAACATTTTTTTAACTTGTTGATTAACGAGCTAAACATGTAGTTAAAAAATGTTTTCCCTACAATTTTATGTGTCATTTAAATGGATCAGCACAATGTATTATGTATTTATAAATTTATTTATGTTATAATTCTTTTTTTTCTTCTTCTTTTTTTTGGTAGGGGGGGGGGGGATAAATTTTGTCATAATTAAAGGGGGGGGGGGGCAAGGAACGTTTGGAAGCTTTTGCCAAGGGGGGGGGGGGGGGTGGAAATTCCACAAGGAACGTTTGACAGCTATTGACAAGTGGGGGGAGGGAGGTCGAAATTCCGTAAAACTTGTTGACGTAATTAATGGACGACCTCTTAGCGTTGGTGTTGTTGTCCTACAACCTTGAATCTCGAGGCCAAAGTGAGCTCGGAAACTGAAAGTCAATCTATGTGACGACAACACGCAGGCCTATTTGGTTTAAAGCTCTCTCACTCTAAATATAAGTGCTCATCTTGGGTTAAGACAGTGGTCGGCAAATAGCGGCTCGCGAGCCGCATGCGGCTCTTTGGCGACCTGAGTGCGGCTCGGCCAGTCGGCCACAAATCAGTTTTGACTCCGAAATACATGGTTCTTGATAGGTTCTTGAAAAGCAATTTTGCTCTCAAAAAAAAAATTAATCGTCCTGCTACTGATTTTTTGGTTCTTTTGACCAATGGGTTTGCCGACCACTGGGTTAGGGCAAACAAGTTTGGGAAACAAAGAAAATGACTAAGACATTTCGACAAATAAAAATATCCACATCACAATTGAAAACGCTGTACAAGAGCTAGCAGACTTGTACAAGAGTTAGCAGACTTGTACAAGAGTTAGCAGACTTGTACAAGAGTTAGCAGACTAGTACAAGAGTTAGCAGACTAGTACAAGAGTTGGCAGACTTTTACAAGAGTTAGCAGACTTGTAGAAGAGCTAGCACTACTAGCAGGCAGACAGAAGCATGGGGAGATCGATTGTTTCCAAATGTCTGATACATTAAATATAGCAGAAAATAAAACTAAAACTTTTGAAATTCTAAATGTTAGTAGTTTAATATATAATTCATAATCTCACTAAGTCTAAGAGATATGAAAGCTAACCGATACTTTCATACAAAGGGTGTTTCATTTATACTGTCACTACTCATACAAGTATCATGCTCTTACATTAACAGTTTTCTACTCAACAACTGAAAAAGGAATCTTACACAATCTCTTATAAATTTTGCTTCTGGCGTGTCCTGCTTCCTTTTCACAGCCGGTCCTCCCCCTAATCAACATGTTTTACATTAATACTAATACTACTGGGAACAAACTGTCATACGTGACGGTTGAACTCGGATAAAAAGGTTGAATTTTTTTTTTCTTTAGATGGTGGCGACTATTATATTAATCAATAAAGAGCCACGGGTATGTTGTAGGACAGCGGTTCTCAACCTGTGGGTCGCGACCCCTTTGGGGGTCGAACGACATTTACACAGGGGTCGCCTAAGACCTTCAGACAACACATGTTTATGAAGTAGCGATGAAAATAATTTTATGGCGGGGGTCACCACAACATGAGGAACTGTTTTAAAGGGTCTAGGCATTAGGAAGGTTGAGAACCACTGTTGTAGCACCTCATGGTGGACTATTGTTTAACGGCCGACAGCTGGCTGTCTGTAGGAGTATTGTTAAAAGGCTTGAAGGTAGGGTGTAGGACTGTCCGTAGGCCTATTATTTAAAGTTTAAAGGCTTGAAGGTAGGGTGTAGGACTTCCGTTGGCCTATTATTTAAAGTTTAAAGGCTTGAATGTAGGGTGTAGGACTGTCCGTAGGCCTATTTTTTAAAGGCTTGAAGGTAGGGTGTAGGACTGCCCGTATAAGGCCTATTATTTAAAGGCTTGAAGGTAGGGTGTAGGACTGCCCGTAGGCCTATTATTTAAAGGCTTGAAGGTATAGGACGTAGGACTGTCCGTAGGCTTATTGTTTAAAGGCCGGCATGCAATTCATACATTGTAGAAAATGAGAAGTTAACCTCTTTTCGTACCACTTGGACCCATGGAGTATTTTCTCAAAATGACCGGACACGGCGTAAATACAACTGCATCCTGTTAAGCCCTATATATAAATATATTTTTAAAGGAGATTGTTACTGCAGCAGTTATTTATAGTCAACGGGGAAAATGACGTTTTCCCAAGTCCGGGAAAGAGGGGCAGAGTCCTCCCACTGGTTTAAGGATCATCAGAG